AGATTTTATAATTGAAGCACAATACTACAAATCGATAGATTCAAAAACTCGATAATCGAGTTTTTGTTTGATTTTGCTGAGTACTGCTAGAGTGGTCAAGACTCACCTAGATTTTAATAGTAAATATTTGGTTTGTATATATATTAAATTGAATCCACATCATGGATCACTAGTTAAATTTTAGCTGGGCTAGTCCTTTTGTGGGGTATGTACCATTGTCTTCATGTAGTTGGTTAGCTATACCGCAAGGACATTTGTAGCTAAGCCTTCTTTAGTGTTGCTTAGTATGGTTGTGGGCTTGTACACTAGTTGGTATAGCCCCATTTAGAGCTAGTATATTATTTTGTTTCTTCCATTTCGCGAATCTGTCACAGTATGGTTTCCAGATTTGTTTGTGGATTTCTGCAGATACAATAAGTAGTGTCTGTACTATAATGTTAGCTGCCTCATTGTATCGTAGGTCTAGCATCTGAAAAGATTCAAGTAGTTGTGTAGAGATGAGGCCTTTGAGAGTAGTGGGTAGCTGGTGTATGTGTGGAGGGAGAGTAGCTAGGTAGTTAAAGGATAGGTGAGACTTAATTAGATTTATTACTGCTCTGCTATTGGATGGGGTTGCTTCACTAATACATTTGCTAACTGTTTTGATAAGAGAGGTATTTATAATCTGTGAAAGGTCTAGAGGGTTTTGGCAGCTTAACTAGTGGTTAGGTGAGTCCAGTGTACTACAGGAAAAACAGGTACTGGTCTGGTATATTTTTGGGGTGATGTGGTGAAAGTGGAAGTGTGTGGCAGATTGTTGAGCAGGTGTTTGATTCTGAATATCTTCATTTGGTTAAGTTTGGGTAATGTAATATTAGCTGAAGTTTTTTGGTTGTTGTTTAAGAAAAGCCAGGTAGAGTTCTAGTCAATTGTTTGGGCATAGTTTTCCCATTCAGTATTGCACTTTTGTGTTGACCATAGTGCTATTGTACATGCTTTGCAAGTATTCTTGACGAATAGTCATGTCAGTTTCTCTACGTCATAGCCTTTCCACTTGATTGTGAAATGTGAGTTGTGTATATTGGTATGGTTGAACAAGAGAGTAGGTGTTAATAGGTGTTGGTGCTTCTTGGCCAAGGTGTCTGCAGCATTATTAAACTGGTTATTTGAATGTGCCAGGACTTTGTGTAGTGTAAACTGAATGTTAAAGGTCTTAGTTGTGTTAAGAAGTGTATGCTAGATAGGCTAGTAGTTAAATTTAAAGTATTTAGGAGATTTGGAAGGAGTTTGTAGAAGTTTGTGATACTTGGATATAATAGACTGAGAGTCTGTAAATATGTTTACTTTGACATTATGTGGTATTGTAGCAATCGCAGATAGAATTGCCAGAAGCTCTGCTTTATATGATGAGGGCCAGTTGAGAATCTTGGCAGAGAAGTTGCTATTAATTTGGTTGTAGTTTATTTGAACCCAGCCTACTTCTATAGAGAAGTTAGTGGTACCTAAGTCTGATACCGAGCCGTCTGTATAGAATGTAAAAGTTTATGTATTGGTATTGTTAAGGGCATGTTGTACTAGTATTTGGGATACTTCATTGTCATGAAAGAGAGTTGAAGCTAAGGAGTTAATAATATTAATAATAGGAAGAGGTGGAATGGAGATGGGATGTAGAAATTAGAATTTTAACAAATTTAGTTTTACATATATATATATAATTTTTAACTATCCTCTATGAAACTTAATATTGTGCTTCAACCAAGAGTTAATACACATAAGAGCTTATACACTCTTCACAGATAGACATGTACGTTTAGCCCGAACTGTATCACCAGCTTTGGAGAAAACTTGTTAGAAGGATACTAAAGTAGACTAGATGACTAAATAATCTTTAGCTATTTGAGATAGATTAGGAAAACATGTACGATTAAGTTTTCACCAGTTCAAAGGATCAATGTTCACAGGTAAAACAGCCTCAGATAAGTATTGGCTAAATTCATCTATCCTATTACTAAGTTCATTTGTTTTTCATTTTTTCTGAGCAATTTGTTCTGTATATGTTAAATTCAACATTTTTAAATTAGTAGACGAATTATTTAAAGTAAGTGCAGAATATTGTGTTTTAAAAATATTATTAAAAATAGCACTATTTGCTTTAGTATTCATATTATCAGGCATTAGCTCTAGTTTAATTTGAGGATCGAGAATAGCTGCTATAAAGGCTGTCTTATCATAGATCTCATTTGAATACTTTTGAATTTTATCTGACATTTGGATTGCAGCTGTTTTTAGAAATTCTGAACTTGTTGAATTCTGAATATGCAATGAAATAGTATCAACAATGCTATCAATTAGTAGAATTGAAATGCCTAGAGTCGTATATGTGCTGCCAGAAAGAACATTAGTAGTTTTATAAAATGGTTTAAAAAATTGTGTTATGGTTTGAAGATCTGATTTTTCTTGTAGTGTAAGTTTATATTTATTTAGATTTTTGTTGTGTTTAATAAGTGTTGCAATTGTTGTAGGCATAGTTATATAGACTGAAAGCATCAAATATGTGCTATTCCACCATGTTAAAACATCCTATGGAATTTTACAAGTTGTCTCGCCTTCTCTAACTGATTGCCCAAGCTCTTTTAAGTCCTGAGTCAGCAATGATGAAGAGGAAATAGTCTTGACCAAGTTGCACACCTTTTCGATTGATGATTTAATAAGTAACAAACTACTTAAGAGTGTGGTGACTTAGTGAAGTGGTGGAATTGTCGCACCTCCAAATAGCAGGTCTAGAGTTCAAATCCCATGGACGACGATTTTGAAAAAACTAGATCTGTATCGGTTAACGTTAAGATTATTGGTTGGATCCAGATATCTGTAATCTTGGTCACACCATCT